TGTTAAGAGTTAGATTAATTGTTCATTTTACATTTAAGATTTATATTTTATTGTGAACCATAGGTATTAACGGATTTGGGGCAATAATAAATATATCTACAGATTATCCATGATCTTGGATAGTGGGATCAGCTTAAGTGGCAATGACCTACTCCTTTTCCCAGAATTGTTGTAAATTGTTGGTAAACATGTGCAAAAAAAGCCTTTTTTGTTTTTGCTTTCAGTTGAGTACTAACTACAGCTTGCTGATGTCCACTGATATTTGCAATCTCAAAGCACAACTGTGAAGAATTTTGCACAAATTGCCAGTTCAGTTACCTTGTGTACAAATGCAGTGAGTTGAAATTATCTAGATCAAAATGACCAGAGTAGATATTTGACCAGGAAAATTGAGTGTTGACATCTATGTTTCCAAGCCATTATTATTAATTTTTTTGCCACAATAATGAATTGAAGTGAAGGCCCTGCTATATTCAGTTCACTTTTTTTTCTTGCAGTAGGTTCTTGATTGAGTAGAAAAGGTCGCAGTAGGGTTAATATAGGGGGACAGTTAATTGTACTCCTTTCCTTACAGATTTGGCAGCACAAGTGACTGATCTCCTTTCAAAAGCCATTGTGTGAAATGACTTGTATCTAGATTTAATTGTTCAAAAACAATTCACTTCAGATGTGTGATCTCACATCTATTGGTTTGAGAGGCTAAGCAGTTCAGATTTTTTGAAAAGATCTTTTTATTTGTGCTTTATTATTTAATGTGCACAATCACTGTAATTATTGTAAGTAGTTAGAGGGACTTGTCTGCTCAACGCCAAGCATTTAGTGCCTAGGACAATGGCAATGACAAGTTGCTGATTTCAAGTCAACCTTTCGAGATTGGGCTTTAAATATGTAGTTGAACTTTCTTCGTTTGATGTTGCTTTTTGAAAGAAAATTGATTTCAGTAAAGCTTTCTGCCAGTTTGCTTCATATTTTTGCTTCCTTATCTGTTAAATTGTCCGATAAATGAGATTACTTCAATGTATTGATTGCTCGTTTCCCTTTACTCTGATAACAGCAAGATTTCAGGGGTGGTTATAATGGAAGCAATTCAGTCCTCATTCTCCTTCACAAAAAGCCTCAAAGTGAAGTAATTTTGGAAATTGTAGATACTTATCCGCTTTGGAAATGAAAGATTGCTGGCTTTTTCAATTTGAGTGTTTTCCTTTTGCATGTGAATCAACCCAGCGCAGCTGCTTTTAGTTCTGGTACACATTTACTACATTTCTCCATGGTTGACTGGACCAAGGTATGGAAGACTTTTAAAATATAAATTTCTAAGGGAGAGGACAGTAGTTTGTATCATTCTTCTCGATCTTTCTTTTGTTTCTATTTGCTTACATTGCTACTCTTAACAAATTATGAATTCTTTTGCTCCTTTACCCCGTTTTGGCTTATTTTGAAAAAGTATGCATCCACCCAATTGAAAGGAGTGGGAGAGTAAAAAAAGAACTTTACTCTGGAATGTAATGGCAAGAGAACGGATTTATTCACTCTAACTGGGATGCACTGAATGTACCAAATGCTGTTTTTTGTTCGCCATCTTTTCTTGAGAGCCAACTACATATGGCAGTGAAAGTTTCCTACTGGCAAAACCAGTATTAAAGTACCAAAAACAACAAAGAAAAAGATTGAACACATCAAATAGAAATCAGAGGAAAGGATGACAGAATGAGATAAACCGTTAAAAATAAAGAAAAGGCAGTTCAAAGGGTTAATCACCTCACCTCATGGAAAATTTTCACACAGTACCCACTTGGTAAAAAAGGAAAGACTTTGAGGAGGGGAGCCTCAGCATGATGTCTAAATCTGGGGAGCATTTATGTTATTAATTTAAAGCATTAGCAAATAACAAAGCTTGTAAGTAGTGAGGCAGATGCTGCATTTTCCGATTTTGAATGGATACTGGAAAAAAGTAATTATAATTCTCTCCTAGTATGTACCTGGATCACACAGAATATTTCCTTTTTGATTTATGTGGCCTCTTGGTGGAACGTGAAATAGTGCGGTTAGTGTTGACTGATAATTTCTTGGCATAATCGCAGCCTTCATGTTGCTATTTAGGTCATGCCCGTTCGAGTAAATGTAATTGAGAGAGATAATTTTAATATTTTAGATAATGGAATGCTCACTTATTTTTGTTAAACTTGAAGTACAGTATATAGTCTTGAATTTTAATTTGAAATTCCTGTTTTAAACACAAGAGGCTAAATTTATAGATTAAGGACAACATAAAATGGGAAATGCAAGGAGCCGTTTAACTAAAAATATAGTAAAAATGCTGAACATGTTGGTGGCTTGTGTGGTGTACCACATACCCTAATGGATTTGAAGAAGCAGCATGATGTGTTCTTGCTGACTTATGGGATTCAGGTTTATTGGAAATTCGTTGGATAGGCTAAATAAATGAGCTAAAAGATTTCTTCTGAAACTATTTTTGTGTTAAGTTACTGTCAATATGTACTAATGCTAGCATATTGCAATTTTTGCCTTCTCTTTGACTTTAAGAAACTTGCTGTTAGTCCTTTTCTCCTCATCTTTTGTCTGGTAAATTTAAAGGTTCAACACTAGCTTAGACCAGGATAAGGGTATCTAATTGATCATATATCTGGCTCAATACAGAAAAATACAAATACTTGCTATTATTTTACAACACTGATTATGATTTTCCAAAATTCCCGAGATCCATGAACAGTTCCAGCAGATTGGAAGTTTATAAATGTAACATTGCTATTCTAGGAAAGCAAGAAGGAGAGAGAAAGCTGGAAGCTACAGACCAGTTAACCTGACAGTTGTTGGGAAAATGTTGGAAATTTTTGAGGATTTGCTGACAGTGCACTTAGAAAGTCGTCATATGACCAGACAAAATCAGCTTTGGTTTCACAAAAGTGCAATAGTTTGACAAATGTTTGAGATCTTTTGAGGATGATTTTTGAGGTGGCATGGTGGTGCAGTGGTTAGCGCTGCTGCCTCACAGTGCCAGAGATCCAGGTTCAATTCCAGCCTTGGGTGACTGTGTGGAGTTTGCATGTTCTTCTCATGTCTGTGGGTTTCCTCTGGGTGCTCCAGTTTCCTCCCACAGTCCAAAGATGTGCAGGTTAGGTGGATTGGCCATGCCAAAATTTGCCCATATGTGCAGGCTAGGTGAGTTAGCCATGGTAAAAACCTCATGCGGGGTTATGAGGATGGGGTGGGGGTCTGGGTGGCATGCTGTTTGCAGGATTGGTGTAGTCCCTGTGGCTGAATGGTCTCTTTCTGCATAATAGGGATTCTGTGATTCTAGGATGTAACTTATTAGTGGTAGGTGAAGGTGAACCCAATGTATCCTTGTATTCCCAAAGGGCATTCAATAAATGTCACACAAAATGTTAATAAACAAGATACATTCGAGAGTAATTAATAAACATGGATATTGGAGTGATTAACAGGATGCAAAGAGCAGGTATACATGGGTCATTTTCGAGTTGGAGGATGGATCAGTTCTGAGACTTCAACCATTTGTATTCTATGTTAATAACTTTGGCAAAAAGACCAAGAATAATATCTCTGAGCTTGCTGACGATGAAAAACTGAGTGGGAATATAAGTGTGGAGGATGTAAGGATGCTGTAAAAAGATAGGAAGGGTACGTGAGTAGGCAACAAGATGGCAATTGGGGTATAATGTGTGAGGTTATTCACATTGGTTGTAAAAATTGAAAAACTGAATATTTTTCAAAAGCAGTGAAACACATGTAAATGTTGATGCCCAGGACTTGGGGTCCACCCTTGCAAGGAACACAAAGTTAGAAATCGATTAGCAAGGTAAATTACATTTTGGTCTTTTATTATAAGGTGACGAGTACAGGAAGAAAGGTGTCTTGCTACAATAATATTGGCCTTTGGTGAGACTGTACCTGGAGTACCATGTGCAGTTTTGGTCTGCATATCTAATGAAGCATATTCCTGTCTTGGCAGTACAGAAATGGTTTATACAGTTTATTCACTAGATTAATTCCTGGGATAGGAGGGTTGTCCTATGAACAGTATTTTCATTTTATGTTTTCTCGATTTTAGAGGGATGACAGCTGTTGACCTCATCAAAACATATGAGATCCTGAAATCGGCTGATGGGGAAGATAGAACTTGTTTTCTCTGGCATAGGAATCTGGAACAAGGACCACACTGTCTCAGGATAAGGGGTTGATTGTTTAGGACTAAGATGAGAAATTTCTTAAATTAAGAGGTTGTGAATCTTTGGAATTGTCTACCCTAGAGAAGTTTAATGCACCATCATTGACTGTGTTCAAGGCTGTGAGAGTCTCTTAGGGAATCAAGGGATGTAGGGAATTGGCAAAGTTGAAGTAGGAGACCAGGCAAGATTTTATTAAATGGCAAGGCAGGCTTGAGGGGCAGACAGGAGAGAGTCTATTCTTGTTCGTATTTCTTATGTTTTTGTAGCACCTTTCACAACCTCAGGTCATTCGAAAGTGCTTTACAGCCAAAGAAATGTTTTTGATATATGCTCACTGATACAGGAATGCGGATTGAAGGGAAAGAGAATGATTCCGTACTGCAGTGGTTTTCTCTGGCCTTGAATTTAGATCTGGGGTGAATGGCCTTAAATAATGTTACATATTTTCGTGTAATATGAAAAAATTACATATCTCGGTCATATAATTGAGAAACCTAAAAGCGGTTTTGGTGCCTAGAATTTGAATAATTGGAAATTTTGACCCTGGGCACTGCAAAGGGGGAGTGTGAGATGGAGGCCTGTAAAAATGGCTTTGATTTTTTTTTTCCTAACCTTGCTCCTGATAAAGGGGATTCTGCAAGGCAAAAAGCAGAAAACTTGGAGTTTTGTAGGCAAACGTTAAGGAAGGTTGGTCATCTATCTTGCTTCTAATGTACTGCATATTTATGTAAAAATACATGCAAAATATTTTTGTTGCTTGTTGTATAATTTCTATTACTTGGTTCATTTTAGGTGCTAAATGCAATCCAACTGGATCAGAAATCGGACCTGAAGATGTAACTGGTAAAAAATGGCAAATGAGAACATGGTTCAGTCCACGCAGTAGGAAAATGAGGTGTGTGCTAGATATGAATGCTACTAGGAAGAATCGGAAAGTGGCTCCCAGTTCTGGTTGTAATGGGCCATCGCCTTCAGTGTTCGAATTCATGTCATCACCTTCCCCTCCACTCAACTCTCCAAAGAAGAAAACGCCGATTAACTCAAAACAGGCAGTGAGGAAAAGACTGGCTGATGCCAATAAAGATTGGGGTTTTGGAAAAAGAAGAAGCAAGAAAATGGAGAGAGAAAATGACAGTCCTGGAAATATAGATTATGATAGAGTTGTCTCATTTCGCAGCCAGCCAGTGGTCGTCAGCAACCAGGGACAAACAGTTGTAGGTGAGGCAGCTGAACAGTCACTTGCATTTCCACTGGACGACAATGTGATGGGCTCCAATGTAGAATCTTTGACCAAGAATGTGATTGAGAGTTCTTCTGGAGCATGCTCTACTGCATCAGTTTCCAGTTGCAAAGATATTTTCCTTGGACAAACTTTCAGTCAGGAAGGACACACTTTTTCTCTTGTCCCTGTCCCAACCACAGAAACAAATGCTAAAAGATCAAGGAAATCATCAGAATCTCGCAACCAAACTCTTGCCAAAAAGAGCAGAAAAGAAGTACAAAATTCTTGCTTTGAAAAGTCATCTGCAAGTCATGATGCAATTGTATGTGAGCCAGCTAAGTTAGACACACAAGAGGAATTTTCAGCAACTCCAGTACATCAAGCTGGGTTAAGCGAGAGCATTAATGAGACACAAGCGCCTTCTTCAACAGAAAACGGCTGTGGTACACCACCTAGCGGATGCAATACTCAAAGAAAGCAATGTGCAACACTGAAATCTCCTCAAACACCACTAGCTACATTTAGAAACAAGTTGCCTAGAAGTTGTGCAATGACTCCAATCTCGCCTCTTACTCCCACAATGAAAAGAAATCACAAGGGTGAGACTCCCCTCCACATTGCTGCCATAAAGGTACAGTACAGCAATAAAAGCTGACAGATAACAAAAACCTTTTCTTCAGAATTGCTTTAGAGTTGTAGAGGTCTGCCCTTTGGCCCATTGAATCTGCACCAGTCAAAAACAACCACCTAACTATTACTAATCCCATTTTCCAGTATGTGGCCCATAGCCTTGTACATTTGCAATGCCAAGACATATATCTAAATGCTCCTTAAATGTTCTGGGTGTTTCTGACTCTACCACCCTTACGGGCAGAGAGAGTTCCAGATTCCCAGCATTCTCAGGTGAAAAAAAAATATTTCTCTCATTCCCCTCTAAACTTTCTGCCTTAAATCTATGCACCCTGGCCATTGATCCCTCCTCCAAAGCAAAAAGCTTCTTCTCGTCTACTCTGTCTATGCCCCTCATAATTCTATATATGTCAAGCATGTTCCCTGTCAATCTCCTCTGGTCCAAGTAAAACAATCCCAGTCTATCCAATCTCTCTTCAGAACTAAAACTCTCCAGCCTGGGCAACATTCCTGATAAATCTCCTCTGCGCCCTCTGTCCAGTGCTATCACATAGCTCTGATAATGTGGAATGTAGAACTGCACACAGTACTCTAGCTGTGGCCTAACCAATGTTTCGTACAGTTCCAGCATCACCTCCCTGCTCCTAACTTTATGCCATATTCTTAACCATTTTAAATGTCTGTTGTGAACTTCTGATAGCAGACTGTCCTTGTTCTCATTCTTGAATACTATATGCACTTCTGTGCAACTTCTGTTTCCTCTGTGTGAACCTTGGATGCTGTCAAGCATCAGTTGGTTCAAAGAGCCTAATTCTGAACTGATTACGGCAGAATCACAGAGGGGAGTGGAGCATAGAAAACCTGGAAGAGAGGAGAAGGCTCGTATGACCTGGGAATGTAAGAAGGAAGGTAGATAGATATGGTGTGTACAATGCTATGTAGCAGAAGAAAATCCCCTTTACTTGGTTAGTCTCTAATACATCCAGTTCCTATGATAGTCCATTGACTTGAAATATTATCTGTTAGTCTACAAAGGTGGGCCAGCATTTGTGGAGACAATTTCCATTTTTATTTTCAATTGCCATCATTTGCAATGTTGTGCTATTCTTATTCAATGCCTACTTGGCCATTGGGCAGTACCTATCATTAGTGTTTTATCCAATTTCTGTGTCTTTATAATTTAAATTTGTAATTTGTTTAAATTTAACAGCAGTAATCTACTTACAGATGGAGATTTGGAGGATGAATGGAAGAAATTTGGGTGTTTTGATATCGGCTGTGAGAGTGTAGTAGAGATGTAGTATAAATAATTTGAAATGGAATATTACAGCTTTAGGTCACTGTGCTTTGTTGCTGTCTTTGAGGCATGTGCTAAATCAGCTTCCACTTTGAAATTGTGGTATTAGAAGAAAAGGTAAAATACTCTTACCTGTATTTCAGTAGCACTTACCCAGACCTCCCAATATGCTTTGCAGCCGATTTAAGAACCTTTCAAGTAAAATCACTGTTCCAATATAAAAACAAGATAAGCACAGCAAGATCCCACAATCAATAAAGAAACAGAAAAACAGAATTTCAGGTGTTGCTTGAGGAATAGATATTGGCCAGGATATTGCTGAGAATTTCCTGCTTTGCAAAATAGTGTCTTGGAATGTTTCACTTCCATATGAGTGGGCAAACAGGGTCTCGCTTTAACGCCACATCTGAAAGTTAGTACCTTCACTTTGACATCGGAGTTAAGTAGGTGCACTGCACGATTTGTTTGAGGTTTACAACAGGCTTTTTGCCAACCGGGATTAGCTAGGTGGCTTCCCAAATATCTCCCAGTAATACCATCTCATTTTGAGCTCAGTGACAGACAAACAGGAACTCTAACTTCTGTTTTAATGAAATGTCAGGAAATTCCTAAACAACATATGCAGAGGAATGACATTTTATTGGAGAAATGGATGGAAAAAATGGCCCCTGACAGTTACTTTGGGAAGCTGTGTGAATTTTCTTTGAGACACACAGTCAGTTTGCCACAAGTTCCTTGAGACCCTTTGAATTTTGACGAGTAATGCCAGTCATTTAACTTCCTGTCTAAAAAAGCATTTTTTAAAATACATATATAATTACTTATTTGAGGGATGTGGTTGTCACTGGCAAGACCAGCATTTATTGGCCATCTCTAATCCCCTGAAGTGGTGGTGAGCTGTCAACTTGAATAGCTGCAGTCTGTGTGGTCAAGGTGGACCCACAGTGATGTTAGATAGGGTCTTTCAGAATTTCCACCTGGCAGTGATGTCAAAGTAGTAATATATTTCCAAGTCGGAATGATTTGTGACTTTGAGATGGGTTACTCCCAAGCGTTGCTACACTTGTCCTCCTAGGTGATGGAGATTGTAGGTTTGAACGTTGCTGTTGAGAAAGGCTTGGTGAGTGCTGTAGTGCATGCTGCCGCAGTGTTGCATATGTGATGGAAGGAGTTGGTGTTTAAGATTTTGGATAGAATGCCAATCAAGTGCATTGCTTTATTCTGGATGGTGTTGAACTCTTTGATATTGTTGAAATGCACTCATCCAGGCAGGTATTCCATAACATTTCCAACTTGTGTCCTGTAGATGGTGCAAAGGCTTTGAGAATTTGGGAGGTTAGTTATTCGTCATAGAATACCAGACTGTGACTTGTTCCTGTGACCACAATATATATGCTGCTGTTCTAATTAGTTTCTGGCCATTGACAAATTCCATGGATATTGATGTGACATATTCGCTGGTGGTTTTGTCAGTGAACATCAAGGAGAGGTGATTAGAGATTCTTGCTAGAGATGTCATTGCCTGGTTCTTGAGGGATAATGTTGCTTGTCATTTTAAGTACAGGGTACATGCTTAAGTATCATCCAGGTGCTGCATGAGAGCGCACATGGAGATGGAGTTTAATGTAGGAAAGTATGAGATCATGTTTTCTGATTGAAAGTCTCAAAAGGCAGATTATCTAAATGAAGGGAGACTTCGAAAAAGTCTGCCACAGAGGGATCTGTGTGCATGAGAATCAAAATATTAGCATGTTGGTGCAGCATAAAATTAAGAGGGCAAATGGAATTTTTGACTTTTAAAATCAGTTTAAAAAAATGAAAAGTCTTGTAACAACTGTGTAGGGTCTTGGTGAGGCCACATCTAGAGTACTGTGTGTAGTTTTGGTCACTATTTAAGAAAGGATATACTGGCATTGGAGGAAATTCAGAAGAGATTTACTCACCTGATTCCTGGGATGAAAGGCCAAAAGAACTGTGGATGCTGTAAATCAGGGACAAAGACAAAGTTGCTGGAAAAGCTCAGCAGGTCTGGCAGCATCTGTGGAGGAGAAAACAGAGTTAACGCTTCAGGTCCGGTGACCCTTCCTCAGAACTGATGGTGGCTGGGAAAACGTCAGTTTATATGCAGAAAATAGGGAGGGGAATGGGGCAGGGAGTAAACGATAGGATAGAGCCCAAAGAGAGAGAAAGAAAGTTGGACAGACAAAGGAATTGCTAACGATCAGGCTGGGAGGGTGAATAGTTGTTAATGGTGACTGTTAGTGACTAACAACAGGGGGTGTGTAGTGGCAGGCTATGTGGTAACAAGGCCTGGTGTGTGGGGTGGGGGAGCTGGAACATGGAAGAGTTTCGGCCCTAAAATTATTGAAGTCAGTATTGAGTCTGGAGGGCTGTAGGGTCCCCAAGCGGAAAATGAGGTGTTGTTCCTGTAGCTTGCGCTGAGCTTCACTGGAACACTGTAGCAAGCCAGAGACAGAGATGTTGGCCAGGGAGCAAGGTGGTGCATTGAAGTGGCAGGTAGTTCAGGGTCTTTTTTGCGAGCAGAACGTAGATGTTCTGCAAAGCGGTCGCCAAGTCTACGCTTCGTTTCCCCAATGTAGAGGAGACCACATTGTGAGCAGCGAATGCAGTAGACTAGATTCTTGGAAGTGCTGGTGAAGTGTTGCTTCACCTGGAAGGTATGTTTGGGCCCTTGGATACTGGGGAGGGAAGAGGTAAATGCGCAGGTGTTGCACCTTCGCTGGTTACAGGGGAAGGTACCGTAGGGCTGTGGGGAGGTGTTGGACGTGAAGGAAGTACGGACCAGGGTGTCCCGGAGGGAACGGTCCCTGCGGAAGGCAGACAAGGGAGGGGAGGGGAATATGAGTCTGGTGGTGACATCTTGCTGGAGGTGGCGGAAATGGCGTCTGATGATCTTCTGGATGTGGATGCTGGTGGGATGGTAGGTGAGGATAAGGGGAACCCTATCACTGTTGCGGGAGGGAAGAGAAAGGGTGAGGGCAGAAGTGCGGGAGATGGGTCGGACCCGATTGAGGGCCCTGTCGACAACGGAGCTGGGGAATCCTCGGTTGAGGAAGAATGTGGACATTTCGGAGGCTCCCTTGTCGAAGTTGGCCTCATCTGAACATACGCGACAGAGACGGAGGAACTGAGAGAATGGGATGGAGTCTTTACAGGAAGTGGGGTGTGAGGATGTATAGTCCAGGTAGCTGTGGGAGTCAGTGGGTTTGTAATGGATATTAGTGGCTTTACAAACAATCCGTTACAAACCCACCGACTCCCACAGCTACCTGGACTTCACATCTACGTTCTCCTGTAACCGGCGAAGGTGCAACACCTGCGCATTTACCTCTTCCCTCCCCAGTATCCAAGGGCCCAAACATACCTTCCAGGTGAAGCAACACTTCACTACCTGAACTACCTGTTGCCTGCCACTTCAATGCACCACCTTGCTCTCTGGCCAACATCTCTGTCTCCGGCTTGCTACAGTGTTCCAGTGAAGCCCAGCGCAAGCTGGAGGAACAGCACCTCATTTTCCACTTGGGGACCCTACAGCCCTCCAGACTCAATATTGAGTTCAATAATTTTAGGGCCTAAACTCTCCCATGTCCCAGACCTTGTTACCACATAGCCTGTCATTACACACCCCCTGTTGTTAGTCACTAACAGTCCCCATTAACAACTATTCACCCTCCCAGCCTGATCGTTAGCAACTCCTTTGTCCAACTGTCTTTCTCTCTCTTTGGGCTCTATCCCATGGTTTACTCCCTACCCCACCCACCTCCCTATTTTCTGCATATAAACTGACGTTTTCCCAGCCACCATCAGTTCTGAGGAAGGGTCCCCGGACCCCAAATGTTAACTCTGTTTTCTCCTCCACAGCTGCTGCCAGACCTGCTGAGCTTTCCCAGCAACTTTGTTTTTGTTCCTGGGATGAAAGGGTTGTCTTATCAAGCATGGCTAATCAGGTTAGGGCATTAATCATTAAAGTTTAGAGGGATGATGATTAGAATGAGCGATAATGCCAGACTTGTTAAGTTTCTCCAGCATTTTGTATCTGTTTCAAATTTTTATTTGAGCCCTTACTCTTAGTTAACATTTTAGTGCTGGTAAGTTACTCACTGTACATCACAGCATGGTAACGTATTTTAAGTGTATTTGTCATAGACAGAATATGTGCAAAACCTGCACCGTGTATTATGTCACCTCTGCAATGCAAGTTGTGCCCCCCTGTTTGACACCTGCAATACTTCTGGCTTTCTGTATGGTGGCTCTGCATGGATCTTTTATTCATGTTTCGTTGTTTTGCTTTGTCCATTTTGGATATTGTAAATCCGATTTTTGGTATGCAGTTGGAAAATCATTCATCCCGTAGACATCTAAATGCTGCAAGTCAAGATGAGGTCTTGACTTTTAAAGTCTTTGTGCCTTGAATGTATTTGACCCCTGTGGTCTAGCAAAGGCCTGCCAGATTAGAGAAGTGCAATCTGTGAACCTTTGCTGATCTGACTGTTCTATTGTGTTACAGGGTGATATTGTTGCAGTGGAGCAGCTTTTGGAGAATGGAGCAAATCCAAACATCAAAGATAATGCAGGATGGACACCATTGGTATGTGTCTATGCATATGCACAAAAGATGTTTTTGTATTCTTGTATCTGATTTCAAATCATGAAGTGATTGAATCAACTTGTTAAATGAAAAGTATAGGTAGCCAGTCAGATTTGACTAATATCATTTCTCGTAAGGAGTCTTAAGTTTAGATGCCTTTGAATGACCGATCAGCTGTTCTAATGGACATTGTATTTTACTGCAAGGCATGGCAATTATTGTATTTCTGTCTCAATATCCATCTCAGGTGAGAACAGCAACAGTAACAAGTTTCCCTGCATTGGAATGCCAGATATAGAGCTTCAAAGCTTTTTTTTAAATGTGTGAAACTGAGGTTTTTGGTTTAGCTCAATAAAACTGCTTCCACTCCCAACTAGGAGCTCAGTCATGACCCTCTAATTTCCCGCAAACAGCATCTATCCATATCAGAGTTCAGGTCCTAGACACTGTTGAAGCTGTGGTGAAAGGTGGGCAATGTGCAGGAATGGAACCCTAACAAGTGCTGAAACTTGTGGATGTTAAGTGGCTGTCATTTGATCAAAGAGTTGCAGAGGATGACATATCATGACTGAGATAACTGGCCTTGTAGCCACATTAGGCACACAGATCATTGGTTAGGATTCCATGACTTTTCCCAATATTTTGTGGTTCTGAATTTTACCAGCACTTGGAAAATGAATGTTGCACTGTATAAATTAACATTGGTGTTTTTTGCATAGGTTAAACAGTAGCTATAGTATTTCACAACTTACTTTTTTGGCTTTTGGAAACCATTTACAGTCACAATCGACGGCTTCAAAGTGCAGCCATTTACAGAACATTTCAAAGATTGGGTTTCAATTGTACAAATAATTGCAGTTGAACCCATGCTGTTAAATGACAAAATGCATTACTTAGCTGATTTCTTCAGGATTCCTGAAGCTATGTTATCATGCCAATCAGATATTTGTACCCTAATTTATCTTCTGTACAGGGTTTATTTCTGTCATACAGCATAGTTGATTTAGAGTCATATGTACAGCTGTGCCCAGGCACATTACTAGGGAGAACAGTCAGCGTTCTTGTTCTTCTAATGGTTCAGTTTAATGGCCTGTTGTGTTTGGAGATTTAAGTTGGAATTAGCAGCAGACTACATGTTGGGTGAGATTAAGTGATAGATCATGAAATTTTGTGACCAAGTTTTGGAATTTCACCACATTGTGCAATTTGAACAATCTTCCTCCAAAAGCCTGGATCAGTACTTCTAAAGTGCTAAAATAAATGAAGACTTTATATATAAAGAAAATTACTGTGTAATTCCAAGAAAATGTATTTTTGGTTTAATTTCTGCCACAAAATTATTTGAACTGTTTCAGAAATCATTCATGTAAGCATCATTGATATTGTTAATTAGAAATTGTGTGGATGTCATAAAAATAAATGCTTCTTATTTTGCACAGTGTTATTTAAGAAAAGCTGAACTTCTTTAGATGCAGTGGATGGGAATTTAAAAGATGATAAACCACTAGTTCAAGGCTCAGCTTGGTTCCGTATTTTATCACATTCCCAATGGCAAAAGCTGTATGGAAGTTAGTTTTGTGTTTGTTGTAATCTAGGCAGTTAGACCATTTGGCCCATTGTATCTGCTCCACCATTCAATGAAATTATGGCTGATCTGATGATCCTCAATTCCGCTTTCCTGCCTTATCCCCATGACCCTTGATACCCTTGCTGAATAAAAACCAGTCTGTTTCAGCCTGGAGTATATTTAACAACCCAGCTTCAACAGCTTTCTGTGGTAAAGAATGCTACAGATTCACTAAACTCTCAGAGGAAAAGAAAAGTCCTCCTTATCTTTGTCTTAAGTGGGCGACCCCTTACTCTAGGATTATGCCCTATAGCCTTAGACTTTCCCACAAGGGGCAACCTCTCTGTCTACCCTGTCAAGTGATAAGAATCTTATATTTCAGTTAAATCTCCTGTTATTCTTATAAACACAAATAAGTGCAAGCCCAACTTACTTAACCTCTCATAAGAAAATCCTTCCCTACCTGGGACCAACCTAGTGAACCTTCCGTGGACTGCCTCCAAAGCCATTATTTCTTTCCTCAGACAGGATAAGGTGGCCAAAACTGTTCAGTATTCCAGTTGTGGTCTCCATAGCTAAGGAAAGATATAACTTATTGAGAGCGCTCAGAGGAGGAAACTACATTTCTTCAATAAATGCCATTTAAATCCTTGAAAAAATTCCATTTGAAACATAACCACATTTAGATACCTGTACTGGTGGATCAATGCAAAGTTTTTTTAAAAACTTAATTTAAATATTTGTTTTCCTCCTTTAGGAATCTGGAAGGTCAAAAATATTGTTCTTACCAGTTGTTCTTCCAGATGCAGAGAAAAAATGAGCTCTGGCAGACCTGTGCCGTTGCCTGTGTACATTATTTAAAATTATATGGAATGTATAGCATAAAAATGGACCATTCAGGACATCTAAACAATGCTGGTGTTAATACACCACCTGAGCCTCGTCCCATCCAGTTTCCTCTAATCTTTCTCGGCATATCTTCCTATTTCTTTCTCTGTCATACCTGTCTCACTTTCCTTGCAATGATTTGATCACATCTGGAGTAATATGTACAATTTTGGTCCGCTTACTTGAGGAAGGATGTAATTGCATTGGAGGCAGTTCAGAGAAGATTGACCAGATATGAGGGGTTTGTTTTCTGATGAGAGATTGACCAGTTTAGGCCTGTATTCTATAGAGTTTAGAAGAATGAGAGGAGATGTGATCGAGGTATTTAAGCTGCAAAAAGGGATTGACAAAGTAGGCGTAGAGAGGATGTTTCCTTTTGTGAGGCAATCTAGATCAAGAGGTCATAGTTTTAGGACAAAGGATAGCAGGTTTAAAACCGAGATGAGGAGAAATTACTTCTCTCAAGGTGTTGAGAATCTGTGGAATTTACTAATCTACAGTGCAATGGATGCTAGGGCATTGAGTAATTTATTAACGGGTTGAAAAGTTATGGGGAGCCAGCAGGAAAGTGGAGTTGAGGCTGTGATAAGATCAGCCACGATTGTATTGAATTGTAGCGCAGGCGCAAGGGGGCGAGTTGCCTACTCCTGCTCCTACTCCTTATGTTCTTATGAATCCATGGTTTTCTATATGGTTTAAGGTTGGCACTATAATCATTGTGCATGTCTTTCTTCAAACTAATTGTTGGCTATCTTTTTGTAGCATGAAGCATGCAACCATGGACACGTGGAAATTGTAGAGCGGCTGCTGAAATTTGGCGTGTTATTGAATACACCAGGATACCAGAACGATTCTCCCTTGCACGATGCTGTCAGAAATGGACACGTGGATGTTGTAAAGCTGCTAATCTTACACTATGCATCTCAGGATGTGATGTAAGTAATCATTACTTGTTCCAATTTATCAACCACACCATATCTAGTTGGTACAGCCAAAGAAAATATTTCACACTGATTAAATAATGCAGTTGAAGGAAACTGGAAATCTATAATCAGGAATATTCCTCAAAATCAACTGAAAAAGGCCAGTTGCAAAGGAAATTGGCCTAAAGATTAAATCTCATTATTCTCAGTGACTGTGATTAACTTGTGACCTCGTAATAATATTCTAACTCCAGAATATTTACATTCTAAAAGATGCATCCTTATGCAAAATGAATGAAGAACAAAGCTGCTAGACATTTCAGTGTTTTAAGATCCTATTTTATTTGAGCTTTGCTGATGTCCTTATAAATCTGCAGAGCAGTTTTCAGCAGAGTTTCGACATTGAATTAAAATGTCAAATTGTCTTTCTGATGTCTATTAGTTTATGTAATGCTTTCAGACATAACTTTCACTTTCCGGTCACACAAAAAATAAATTGTCACATTACCCTTGCCCTGGTGAGAATTTGAATTCACTTATCCTAATTACATTATCACTGGCAGCTAGAACAAACATGGAGGGTAGTAGTTGGTTATTTCAACATCTGTGACATCGGCTTCTGTGATGAATTTAAGAATCTGATGGATTTCAGTTCATCAGTTTATGTTTTGTCACATGAATTTCTGGTCAAGTACGATACATGGAACAAAAGTATGCGCGTTTGCTATGTGGTGGAAGCAACTATACCTGGCTAAATATTGGGTTACACCTTGTGGCTTTCTCTGGATTTTAATCTCACTGGAAATACCAAACCATCTTTCAGATCTGTTTGCTACTTACTTTCAGCCTGTAATTCTCAAACTCACATCAGTTTCTGCCTCCAGCTTCTCCCAAAGATAAATAATGGATCTGTCTCCAGGTGGTCCACTGTTTCAACTTCCAATCCCGACAATATCCTTTTTGACTATTCCCCAGCTAGATCTTATAATGTCATCTGTTACTTCAACAATTTAGGTACTTTGTCCTTAGCCCTCTGCTTTTCAAGCAGTTACTTCAATTTCTGTGTGACCTGAAAGGATTTGAATATATTGATCCATTTGGCTGAACATGTCATGCCAAATATCTTGTGAATCTTACTTAGTTTCGGCTACAAAGTGTTGCTAGTGAAACAACTGAACATTTTTTTGTAGACTTTGTCCAACATGGTTTCTTTCAATTGAACAACAGTTCTCAGTCTGGTCTCCTGCCCAGGGTGATGACTGTTTGTGTCACCCACTGCTCTTGTTCTAATTTTGTACTTCCAGATCTCTCATTATGTTTAGATGATGCTGACCCCTCCCTTCACTTTTTATGTTGTGCTCCATTTTTGGCAGTGGACTTGCCACAGATATTCATTACAAGCTGGAAGATATTCCCAACTGCCAGATGAGTTCTCACTATAGCTTTTCCGTTTTATCTGCATTCTTGTATCCCAGTTTCTCTAATCTGTTGTTTCTGTTCTGATGTCATGTTTTGGCACATTAGCTTCTATAATGTTTTTTTTCAGTCAACTGGGACTCCTCCTAGATTGTAGTTGAGAGAGTGGTAGACATAGATTCAACTGTAGCCTTCAGAAGGGAATTTGTTAAATAGTTGAGGGCGAAGAAAGTTGCATGAAATGGGTGGTGTGGAGGAGGCAGGGGAAGGTGTTTGAAATGCACTGGCAAAGTAGGATTATCTGAATTGATGTTCAAAAGAGCAGACATGGAACTGGTTGGTCAAATGGTGTGCTTTTGTGCTGTGCTGATGTGTCCTGTTGGATGAGCTCCAAAATGCAACAAATATTCCTTTTTCTCTCCCTTTCTGGAAAAGTCTTCTGTTTGCTTGCTTTTCCATCAGTGCAGCTTCCACATGCTTGTTCTTGATACTTACCTATACAGCCTTAGGTCCATTTGCCTTTTTCCACAACTTTGCTAGGTCTTCAATTCTCCCTTCTATGTGTTAGGGAATAATTCATGTGTTGCTTCCTTCAATCTAGGATGAATCTGAATCCAAAGATTTCAGCACTGACTGTAGGCTGACACATGATGCATCAGTGCAGTAGAGAACTTCACTGTTGCAATTGCTGTCTTTTGCGATGATAAACTAAGAATCCGTCTGTTGTCTCAGGTGGACAAAATAAAACTCATGACTCAGAGATAGCAAGAACTGCAGATGCTGGAGTCAAAGATAACAGTGTGATACAGTAGGCCAGGCAGCATCAAAGGAGCAATAAAGTTGACATTTCGGGTCCCTGACGAAACGTCAATTTTCCTGCTCCTCAGATGCTGCTAGGCCTGCTGTGTTCCTCCAGCTCCACACTGTGTTATCTCTAAACCTCATGACTCTACTGAATTTAAAGCAGAAATGATAGGTATTTATTTTTCAACTGATATTGTTTAAATAGATCACCCAGTGATTATCTCAATGATGTCTACAGGTCCCAACTCTGTGTAAATTGGTTGCTAGGTTTCCTAGAGTATAATTTAATTATAATATGATTTGACTGCACTTCAAAAATACTTAATTGGCTACAAAGCACTTTAAGCTGTCTGGAGGCTGTTGAAAGATATCACATCAATGTAATTTCTTTCTTTTTAGTGAGGTGTATCTATATTGTAGAAGCTGAATATATTCTTTACATCAGCTGCCCATTCTTCTCTCTCGAATCTGTCCTCAAACCCTTGCACTGTTCAAAACCAAACTCGCTTCAATTTATGAATAGCCTTTTGTCTCCTGGGCACTCTGAAGCTATTCATTTGTGCACTCAATTGAGTAGCTTGATTATCTCCAGATTTCTTACAGGGCTAGCAGCGGTATGGATTTAGTCTGTTAATGTCCGAGGAAGGAGAGTTGTATTGGTGTTGCTATGTGAGCACTACATCAGAAAGTAGTTTTGGCAAGCATCTGCCCTCAAAATTATAACCTGCTGTCTTAGTAACATTTTTTGTTTTTCTTTTTATTTTAGATTTTCAACATTTGCAACATAATCTCAACATAATCTTTTCATTGACTAGTTTGTTCCTTATGTACTCTTCTATTGATATAATGAAATGGAATTTGTGATGTCATGTTTCATGTTTTAATTAATCTACTTTTAATCTCTCTTCATCTTCCACTTTTGGTTTTTTAAGTTATCCACTGTGTTCCTGTTAGTAGCATTAGCAATTTTTAATATTTCTACAGGGTGGGGAAAGAGGATTAAACCACTTTATCTCCATTTGCCTCATTGATATTCAATAATTAGCTCCTCATAGACTAGTCTTGTCAGAATAAAATTGATTTGGTTCTTTTCTCAGACAATGTATGAATTTTTTCTGTGTTGATTCCAGATTGTTTCACTAGACAATTAGATAAAAAGGTAAATGTTACATTTTTACAAGACTGTAATGAGACAAGTTTGATTTATTCTGAGGATGTAAGTACCTGCTGAAAATCAGTTATCAGCACCAGCCTTTTGTCTTTGATGCTTGCTTTGATTGACAGTTATGCCTTTAGAGTCAGTGTGCAAGAACTGCTGACAACTGCAACAGTTTGCATAATTCAATCACTTAATTTTGTGTTGCTTAAGTGGTTGCTTTTACAACCTAAAAAATTATGTATGGCAAATAATTTCAACTGAAGAACTACAAGGAAATGAACTGTAAGGATTCTGATCTCAAGAGTTTTGTAATATTGCCAAGAATGAAGGATTGCTTTTGCTCATTGATGCATATTTTGCTTCAGTATAATTTTACTCATGATAAACAGACTATAATTTTTAGCCTGAGCTACTTTGTCTGTCAGGCTGATTTGTTTCAGCTTATTAGAACGATCCAGAAGACATAGTGAGTGGGCTATATGATTTCTTGCACCAGTAACTCCAATAATGTAATGGTTTGTTGTTCAATCTGCAACATATCATCTAATACATCAAACATAAGATTACCTTTTGGTTCGAGAAAATCACAGGTTTACCTCTGATAGTTTGCATCAAAAAATTGTACTGACTAAAGACCTAAATTGTAGCAGCAAGTTTGGTAAATATAGAATGCTGCAATCTGAGGCTTTACGTTCTCAAGTACATTGTGCTGGCTGGTAGCACTGAGTAGATATTATTGTGGTTCAGCCAGGATTCACAGTTCAATGATCTGAATGCAGATCTGGTTTGGGAAGTAAATTTTTTTTTAAAAAAAGCCAGCAACAAATGAATTGATTATTGTGGAGAAAAGAATTCTGATTTAAAAATATACAAAACCAAAGAGAAAACAGTGTAATACACTAGCCAGGAAAGAAAATGTTGAAAAGTGAATGCAGATAGGTGGATCAGTTACAATCACCATTGTAATCTATATATGGTATTTCACTTGTGTTCCTTTAACCTTTCTCCTCTTTGTTATAATAGATTTTTTTATAGGTAAGCCTATTTTGAAATGGAAAGGCACAAATGTGAAATTAAATAAAATAACTTAATCCATATTTTTAGGAAATAGATCATGTTTTAATGTAACATTATATTTTTTTAACAAAATTTGACCTAGTGCCACTAGATGGATTGTCTGTAATTAGAATTTGTCTGGGTGGCAGGTGAAAGAAATCTCAATATTAATTCTGGGGTTTTTTTGCATAATTAGAAAAAGTTCCTAGTTATGCAGATTTTGCTTAGCTGAATTTGTAAACTTCAGTTAAAGCCTCCAGCATTAATGTGAAGGTCACTTGTGATTGATAATCCAACAAAGGGTGACCACATGACTTGAGAAAGTTCCGATAACAGGTAAGTGAGACGAGAAGAAAATAGTTAATTGGCAAGATCTTAACTGCCTTTTACCCCTTCTTCCTATTTGCACTAACTGATCCAAATGAACACTTCATCCACTCATTAAGATCCAAGTTTAGTATTTGCAATCTGTGAAGTTGTTTCAGTCATTTCAAAACTATGTAATTTTAGACCTAAATCTGTCAGAGTGTAAATAACTATTGGAATTTGGTCAGTGGCCTGTAATACTAGAGAGATA